TAAGACAAAAGTTAATTCATAGCATACAATTGATGGCTTATGGTGAGAATGTCTGCTTGTGGATATCATTTTTCGTCTTTTGGTCTTCAGCTTCCTCATCTACAAAATAAAGGAGTTGTACTTTATGTAAACATCCCTTTTAGAGACAGACTGTCACTCTGTCACCCTGGGTAGAGTGCTGTGGCATCATCATAGCTCACAGCAACCTCAAACTCATGGGCTCAGGCAATCGTCTTACCTCAGTCTCCCACGTAGCTGAGACTACAGGCATGTGCCATCATGCCTGGCTAGTTTTTCTATTTTGAGTAGAGACAAGGGTCTCACTGTTCCTCAGGCTAGTCTCAAACTCCTGAGCTCAAGCAGTCCACCCACTTTCACCTCCCAGAGTGCTAGGATTACAGGCATGAGCCATTGCACCCAGCCCTAACTTTTGATTATCTGTAACTATTAGTCTGTCCTCAGTGTTAATCCTATAGTGACTGTTTTTTTATCACTAGAGGTTTGTGTGAAAAGGAACCACAGTTATCAAAGTATTAGTCAGTTAACATAAAATTAGATATGAAAATATAATGGTAGGTTACTTTTTTTTTTTTTTGGCTGGGGCTGGGTTTGAACCCACCTCCTCCAATATATGGGGCCGGTACCCTACTCCTTTGAGCCACGGGTACCACTCTTTTTTTTTTTTTTTTTCTGAAACAGAGTCTCACTTTGTCACCCTCAGTAGAGTGTTATAGCATCATAGCTCACAGCAACCTCAAACTCTTGGGCTTAAATGATTCTCTTGCCTCAGCCTCCTGAGTAGCTGAGACTGCAGGCACCCTCCACAATGCCCAGCTGTTTTTTTGAATCAGGATCTCACTCTAGCTCACTCTGGTCTCAAACCCATGAGCTCAGGCATGAGCCACTGTGCCTGGCTCTCAGACAAAGTGCTTATTCAAGCAGTTCCTGGGTAGAGTACCATATGGTGCTCATGTCCATGCAGTTCCACCTGCAGGTGTTTACAAGGTTAAATAGTGTCCCCCCCAAAATTATGTCTATCTAGAATCACAGAATGTGATCTTCTTTGTAACTGGTTAAGAGGGGTACTATGAATTAGGGTAGGCCCTAAATCTGATGACTGGCATCCTTATAAGGAGGCAGTGTGGACCGTGGCAGGGAGTGGAGGAACTATGGAGCACCAGAGGTTGCCAGGAAGTAGCCTAGAAGGATTCTTCCCTGGGTTATCTCCCGAGAACAAAAGAGGATACAATTACCATAATTAGAAAAAGCCCTACATGCTCTGGGAGGCCAACGCAAGTGGGTTGCCTGAGCTCACAAGTTCAAAAATGCCCTGCGCCAGAGACCTCATTTCTAAAAAAGATAACCAGGCCTTCTGGTAGACGCCTGTAGTCCCAGCTACTTGGGTGGCTGAGGCATGAGAATCGCTTGATCCCAAGAGTTTGAGGTTAGTGTGAGCTATGACCAGGCGACACTCTACTGAGGGCAACAAAGCAAGACTGTCTCAAAAAAAAAAAACAAAGGGCAGCACCTGTGGCTCAAAGGAGTAGGGCACCAGCCCCATATGCCAGAGGTGGTGGGTTCAAACCCAGCCCCAGCCAAAAACTGCAAAAAGAAAAAGGCCTACAAGTAGGTATATATTTACAAGATACTCTTTTTATTCTTGTTTTTTTTTTTTTAACGGCATCCTGCCATTGTATATTCCTGTTTTTAACTTACAAATGTTCCATTCTAGTTTGTAAATTTAACAATTAAATACTTTAAAAGAAATTCATGTTTTTACATTAATAAATGCTACTTGTTTTCACTAGAAACATCTTGAGGAACAGGTTGCTAAAGTTAACAGAGAGTATGAGGAATGCATGTCAGAAGATCTCCTGGAAAACATCAGAGAGATTGCTGATAAATATAAGAAGAAAGCTGCTCTACTTAAGGCTTCTGATGAATGAAGATAAAATGTTGATTTCTGAATGTTGATTATTTTTGTATCCATTATTAATAAAACTGCAACAGTAAAGTGTGTTTCCTTTCCCTCCTTTCTTATTGACCTCACATGGAGGTGCAATCTAAACCAGAGGTTAGCAGCTACATGTTTAGTAATGTAGCTGAACCTCTACTTGGGACCAGAAGTGTGTTACTTTGTATTCTGAACAGAGTTTTGACTGCAACCTATTACATGAGGTCAAGGGTAAAATTTTCCACTTTTGGTGTCAGCACTCAGTGTTTCAGGTTTGGGATGCACTCAACCTGTGCCATGTACAACGAATTCAGCCACACCTCTTCATTCACACATTACCTATGACAGCTTTCATGCCTGTACCGTGGCAGAGTTGAGTGTGTGCA